TTTTTTTAAAAAAAAAAAAAAAAAAAATAAAAAATTCTGTCATTGACTTAATGTATCATCCTATAATAATCATTTTCAATTTTATCCCCGTTTTCGTTTGTTTCACATGTCTGATAATTCCATGAGTGATTCACTGCCCGCCTAATAAAAATAGCGAGTTACCACCTTCTATTTAAGTAGGGTTTTACAAGTAGTTGTCTTCCTTTCCTTTTTTTTTTCCTTTTTGGGAAAAACAAAAATTTAAAATATCACGCATGCATCTCTAAGGCCGTTATAGTTACCAGAAATTTGTTTGAATTAAATTATGTTGACGAAAAATTGATCGTCGGAATCTAGGTCGAACAGAAATTTGGTCGAACTGAAATTTGGTCGAAGGGAAAATTGGTCAAACGGAACTATGGTCAAAGAGAAATTTAGTCGAATTGAAATTTGTTCGAAGGGAAATTTGGTAGTAAGGAGCTTTGGGCGAACGGAAATTTGGTCGAAAGGAAATTTGGTCAAACGAACATTTGGTCAAGCGGAAATTTGGTCAAGCGGAAATTTGGTCATTTGTTTGTTCGTTGGTTTGTAAGTCCTAGCGGTGTGAGTTAAAAATTGGCAAGTTTGTTCCGTTTGTTGGAACGATTTTTTATATTATTTTCTCTCTAAAGAAAGCAAAGAACTATCGTCTCAATCGAAGGGAGTTGACCTTTCGTTGACGGAGTTATAGCATTCAATTAAAACATTGATCAAATTATCATGAGGAGAAATATCGGTAGCTACAGCATCCCCTTTAACAGTTACAGCACTATGAAAACTTACAGACTATAAACAGTTGCAGCACTATAAACAGTCACAGCACTTTAAACAGTCACATCACTATAAACAGTCGCATCACTATAAACAGTCACAGCACTATAAACAGTCACAGCACTATAAAAAGTCACAGCACTATAAACAGTCACAGCACTATAAACAGTCACATCACTATAAACAGTCACAGCACTATAAACAGTCACAGCAATATAAACAGTCACAGCACTATAAACAGTCACAGCACTATAAACAGTCACATCACTATAAACAGTCACAGCACTATAAACAGTCACATCACTATAAACAGTCACAGCACTATAAACATTCACAGCACTTTAAACAGTCACAGCACTATAAACAGTTACATCACTATAAACAGTCACATCACTATAAACAGTCACAGCACTATAAACAGTCACATCACTATAAACAGTCACAGCACTATAAACAGTCACAGCACTATAAACAGTTACTATTCGACAGGGAAACG